AGTGTCAGTGCTTTTTATTAGCACTGATCACTGTATTAGGGTCACTGGGGATGTCCATGACAGTTAGGCTGCTTTCACACTGAGGAGTTTTTCAAGTATTTTTGTGTTAAAAAAAAAAAAAAAAAAGCACCTGAAAAGCTCAAGAAAACTGCTTCCCTGTGTATGTGAATGTATATCTATGTATGTTTTCACACTGAGGCGTTGCGCTCCTGGTGCGGTGTAAAAACTCCTGTTTGCAGCAGCTTTGGGGCATGTTTGGGGCGTAAAAAAAAACCCCAAAAAGCTACAAAAAACGCCTCTTCCTAATTAATCCTAATGGCACTCACATGCATTGGAAATCGCAGCAGCTGCTTGGGAGACACACTGCACTTGCAGTTTCCGTGAGTGCTGCGATTTAAAAAAGGAAGCAGGGACCTTCTTCCTGCGTTTTCAGGAGGCACAGAAGCCCATTCAAATTCAACATACTGCATTTTCATTCTTGGGTTTAGATACACTTTAATAAACAATTTAAACCTGACTACTTCTGAATTAAGCAAGTGTTTATAGTGCCTATGGCCATTTACTGTGGCAAATTTAATTTGCTGTAAACCTTTGAATACTGTTGCAGTTGGGTGCCCACAATTACTAGTGCAGGGGTCATTGAAATACAATAGCATGTCAAAAATAATTTGCTAAAATGATGGGCAGTCTGATTTGCAATTGTGCAGCATTTTTGTCAGCAGTTTGCATAATAAATGTCCTACAGAGCAAAGGTAGAACACCACTGGTGATGACAGGGCCATGAAGGGGTAATTGCAAAACAGCAAGGCTTCCGAGCTCTCGCAGCACTCTTGGCTGCACTGTGTAAATGCTGCACATTGACCACATAAAGAAGTAAACTAACGATATTGCGATTGTATATAAGATGTGTAGGTCTCTAACCTACTATTGATCTCTGAGACACCTGTGTAGCTACAGTGCATCCAGAAAGTATTCAAAGCGCTTAACTTTTGCCACATTGTGTTATGTTACAGCCTTATTCCAAAATGGATTAAATTCATTTGTTTCCCTCAACATTCTACAAATACCCCATAATGACAACGTGAAAGAAGTTAGTTTGAAATCTTTGCAATTTATTAAAAATAAAAAACGAAAAAAAAAAAAAACACATGTACACAAGTATTCACATCCTTTGCTCAATACTTTGTTGAAGCACCTTTAGCACCAATTACAGCCTCAAGTCATTTTGAGTATGATGCTACAAGCTTGGCACACCTATTTTTGGGCAATTTCTCCCATTCTTCTTTGCAGCACCTCTTAAGCTCCATCAGGTTGGATGGGGAGCGTAGGTGCACAGCCATTTTCAGATCTCCAGAGATGGTAAATTGGGTTCAACTCTGGGCTCTGGCTGGGCGACTCCAGGACATTCACAGAGTTGGCCTGTAGCCACTCCTTTGCTATGTGAGCTGTTTGCTTAGGCTCGTTGTCCTGTTGAAAGATGAACAGTCACCCCAGTTTAAGGTCCAGATCGCTGTGGAACAGGTTTTCATCAAGGATGTCTCTGTACATTGCTGCATTTATCTTTCCTTCAGTCCTGACTAGTCTCCCAGTTCCTGCCACTGAAAAACATCCCCACAGCATGATGCTGCCACCACCATGCTTCACTGTAGGGATGGTATTAGCCAGGTGGTAAGCGTTGCCTAGTTTGCTCCAGACATGACGCTTGGCATTCAGGCCAGAGTTCAATCTTTGTTTTATCAGACCAGAGAGTTTTGTTTCTCATGGTCTGAGAGTCCATCAGATGCCTTTTGGCAAACTCCAGGTGGGCCGTCATTTGCCTTTTACTGAGGAGTGGCTTCCATCTGGCCACTCTACCATCCAGGCCTGATTGGTGGAGTGCTGCAGAGATGGTTGTTCTTCTGGAAGGTTCTCCTCTCTCCACAGAGAAACGCTGGAACTATTTCACAGTGACCATTGGGTGCTTGGTTACCTCCCTGGCTAAGACCCTTCTCCCACGATCACTCATTTTGCCCGGACGGCCTGCTCTAGGAAGATTCATGGTGGTTCCAAACTTCTGCATTTACGGATAATGGAGGCCACTGTGCTCATTGGAACCTTCAATGCTGCAGAAATTTTTCTTTTCCCTTCCCAGATCTGTGCCTTGATACAATCCTGTCTCGGAGGTCTATGGACAATTCCTTGGACTTCATGGCTTGGTTTGTGCTCTGACATGCACTGTTAACTGTAGGACCTTATATAGACAGATTAATGCCTTTCCTAATCATGCCCAATCAAGAGAATGTCCCACAGGTGGACTCCAAGTTGTGGAAACATCGCAAGGATGATCAGTGGGAACAGGATGCACCAGAGCTTAATTTTGAGTGTCATGGCAAAGGCTTTTAATACTTATGTACGTGTTTTTTTTTTGTTTAGTTTTTTAATAACTTGCAAAGATTTCAAAATTAACTTCTTTCTTGTCATTATGGGGTGAACGTCTTTGTCATTTACAGTTGTGTTCAAAATAATAGCAGACATCACTAACCTGATCAATCACTGTTTTTGGTAGAAATGATTTCTACATGGCAAATAATTTACTAGCAGGTGTAGTAGAGTAATAGAAATCCAACAGACCCAAGAGTCATGACATGCATGCTGCTGATTCTGTGTAATTGAATCACTAATTGAAAGGGGCATCTTCAAAATAATAGCAGTGTGGAGTTCTATTAGTGAGGTCATTCATTCTTTGAAAAACACATGGAAATTATTGCCCTTCTTTAAGGAAGGAAGGCAGCAAATGTTCTACATGCTGGTTACAGTGCATTTCTCTCTGAAATTCTGAGGAAAATGGGTCATTCCAGACATTGTTCAGAAGAACAGCGTACCTTGATTGGAGAGGGGAAAACATATAAAGAAGTGCAGAAAATGATAGGCTGCTCAGCTAAAATGATCGCATGATTGTAAATCATCTTAATCAAAAATTTGCAGATGTCTATACTCCCCAACAAAACATCTGTGTTTATGAATCCCTCAGTTTTTCTGGCTGCCTTGCATTCAATTTCTCCCCACCAAGCGTGCCAGATATAGGGTCAAGATGTACATGACCTGTGAGACAACAGGCTATACATATAAGTTTTGAATTTACGAGGGAAAAGATAGTCACGTGGAGCCCCACGGATGCCCAGACTACATGGGAAACAGTGGCAAGATAGTTTGGGACTTGGTGTGATCCTTTTTCAATATGGGGTACCATTTATATGTGGACAATTTTTATTCAAGCGTGCTACTATTTAGACATTTGTACAATCCCCCCACGGCTTGTAAATACCCGTCTTAGAAAGGGGGAAACAGCCTGCTTAAGAAATGAGGAATTGCTTGTGAACTGGAAGGACAAACAGGATGTACTTAGTTTTCCAGCCAGACGATGGTACAAAAAAAAGTGTCTGTTTATTTATTTCAATTGGCTCTATATAATGCTTTTGTGCTTTACAAAGCAATGGGATGTAGTGGATCCTTCCTATAATTCCAGGAAGAGATCATCACAGCCCTTTTGTATCCAGAAGGTGCTATGTCCCAAACCCCCAACCCAGATGTAGCTAGCCGGCTGCATGAGAGGCATTTATCCGATGCCATTTCTGGTACCCCAACCAAAAGAAAACCCCAAAAAAGATGTCAGGGCAGTAGCAGACACAGAATTAGGTGTGACACCTGCTTTTTTTTGTCCCTCCTGTCCTGGCCAACCTGGTCTCTGCCTCAAGGACTGCTTCCTTCGCTACCATACACTAGTGCAGTATTAGTATAGGGTACAGCACGGCACATATTTGCACAGGGTCTCGAAGAGGTTAGGTAGTCAGGAAAACGGCTATTGCATTTTGAGAGACCCTACAATCTGGGACACAGCCATTGCTCCTAATGTGATATCCATGTGGGTGCCACTGGCACTTCACTCCGTGATTCCTGGACCCATGAAGTCCGTAAAAAAAGATATCCTTAGAAACATTTTAGCAGCAGTGCGAAAGGTCATTTCCCAATATTGGAAAACTACTGCCACACCTCCCCTTCTGGAATGGGCTAATGAGCTGGACTCCATCAGGGACCTCGAACATCTACTGTCGCCGGAGTTGGATAGGGAAAAACAGTTTAAACAAACTTGGATCTCGAGGTCTTTGTTTCTCTTCTCTGCAGCAGTCCAGGCTTGGATTACGGAGGATGTCCCCACAGCATCTAGTGAGCCATGATGAATTATCTAGACCCTTACCTTTTCCCTACTTATCCTTTCCCACTCCCCCTTCAGTTCTCTTATCCACATTGAGATTCCAGCCGTAATGGTTAAAATACAACTCCTCTGCCAACTAGCAAACTTGTCAGCTGATTGGTCACACTTGACACTCTCATTCTAAAGGAGAGCGACACCAAATTTATCTGACAAGGCTATTGCTTTATTTAGCTATCCGCTAGAAGCTCCTAGATGTTGTTGCCCATCTTTTGGTATATTCTGTCTTCTTAATTTGTAAACAGTATGTTTCTGACATGCTTCGTGTATGCATTTTACATTGTTGGATGACAGGTCCCCTGCTCCCTCTGTAATCTTTTTTTTTTCCGTGTCACTTGTTACTTTTGATGCAAAAATTAAAAGAAAATAGGATTGGACTAAGAAACAAACAAAACAAAAAACTTACAAGGGTCTTAACTCTCCTCTACTCTATCCAAAGCTAAATGAAAACCTCAAAAACATATAAACCAAAACAGTTTGGGCTTCATATACACTGTAAATGTGCATCTCTAAAGAAAAAAAAAAAAAAAAATGTACAGAAGATTGCAAATGTAACCCTTATCGCTAAGAGCACTGAAATAAGAATAAAATATATATTATAGGTAAGACAAAAGTATAAAAAAAAACCCCAAAAAACCTCGTTTAATAAAAGAATGTAAACAGTTCAAAAACAAGCCATGGTCTGATCTTTTATCACCATGTAGGAAAGTCTGGCAATGTATATCCCATTCCACAGCAGTTTCCATCCTTCTCACATCAAACGTTTTGGATCAATTTTTTCCAGCTGCACCAGTGGTTTTAGTTGTTCTGCAAAGCTCCTGACCTCATCAGCTACACTGTCTTGTCCAGCTGGAGCTACAACGCTAAGCTCAACCAAATAAGAGAGAGACAATGGTTCAGCCCCCTCAGCTGTTCCTGCCACTAAAACACGAAACACTTTGAACACAGCTATTTTCATGGCTCCTTTACGAAACAAATGTCCTTTTGCTACAAATTCATGGTCCATTCTAAAGCCCATTTCTTGTAGAAATTCAGGCAGGACTTCTGAGGTTGCAATATCAACACAGTTCCTGACCAAAGTGTGACGACTTCTGTCTCCTGCCTCTGGCTGTCCAAGATAGCGGAGGTGCCATGGAGATCCTGGTCGGTCAAGAGGCCGTCGGGCACGAAGTACAAAGGGGCTGGCTTGCTGACCCTTTAGCAAGTACACACTCTCATGGTCAGCAAATGTCTCAGGCTCCATGTTGTCACATAAACCACGCAAGCGATGGAGGAGGCTCTCTAGACCTTGATCAAGAATGCTGCCTGAGGTAAAAAATATCATCAGTAATATGCAGTGGAGCATCTGTATGGAACTCAAAATTAAAGTTTGGTAAAGGATTATTTAATAAAGAGATGCACAACAATATACACTTAAAATTTTTAAAGCTGAACTCCAAGCAAACAGCTAAACAGAAAATGTGGCCACCTCTCCATTAGCCACCAAGGTGCCTTCGCTGAACCGACACATGGAAATGCATTAGAGCTCCGAATCAGAATTAAGGAGTTCAGTGGTATCCCTTACCCACCCACAGCCTGGTGAATTGACAAACAAAGAGCAGCAACAACTCTGTTTACTATTCTCTCCTCCTGTTAGCAAGTCACTTTTCAGCATATGCAGCAGTTTGACTAGATCTAAGCTGTCTATCCCTTTTCCAAGTTGCTATGCAGCAGGGTCATATCAAGACACATGACAGATTCAAGTACTTAAGGTGGAACTCCCATTAACCACTTCCCTCAAATAGACAGCCCCATATGTCCTTGAGTTTCAGTGGTTATACTGGGGCCATGACTACAGTTATGACTCCAGTATCATTGTTTTTTTCTGCCGGCAATGCTCTGTCATGTAAAAGCAATTCTAGCAGCTAAATAGCTGTTAGATCGCTTTAAAAGTGGTGAAAGGGGGTCCCACCGGGGAGGCCGGGACAGATGCCCATGGTTCTGCTGGCTAACCATAAGGATGACCGAGGACCAGAATGTCCCCAAAGCGACGAGTATTTTGTCACTTCCAGTGATCGGCTTGTGAAATCTGATCAAACTGATCTTGTGCTTTCATTTCCCCTGAATACGTCATTTTCAACAAAACACGATGGGGGGGCATGTAGTCTGACGTCATCATGCTTTCGCATATCCACGCTGGATACGGATCCCAATCACGCCATTTTGCTTTATGCAAGTACACTCACTGATTGCGATATATGCACATGTACTTTGTTTCTAAGAGAGTGCACTTATTAGTAATAAGTGGGAATGTTTTAAAGAAGAATTCTGGGCAAAAATTGTATTTTCCCATGCAGTGGGTTAAATGCTTGTGTTTGTCTAGGGCGGGTGTCGGCAACCCGCGGCTCTGGAGCCGCATGCGGCTCTTTTTCACCTTTCCTGCGGCTCCGGAGCACACTGCCCACCAGGTGACAGGCAATAGGGGTCGGCAAGCCGCGGCTCTTTTAATGCAGATCTTCTGTGTGCCGGGCGCCCGCTGGCAAACATTGGCTGTCAGGATGTAGGCGGGGCAGCCCGGATGTAGGCGGGGCAGCGTGACAAACTCCTCTCCTCTCACAGTCCGCCCTGAAGACCAGAACGGCGCGGGAACCCAGCGAGAGGAACGCGCGGAGCAAAGGTAAGTGAATTCACACAATATGGGGAATGAATTACTATGGGGGATGAATTACTATAGGGGGGATGAATTACTATAGGGGGGATGAATTACTATAGGGGGGATGAATTACTATACGGGGGATGAATTACTATATGGGGGATGAATTACTATAGGGGGGATGAATTACTATGGGGGATGAATTACTATAGGGGGGATGAATTACTATGGGGGATGAATTACTATATGGGGGATGAATTACTATATGGGGGATGTATTTTCAGTTTTAAAAATGTTTCTCTCAAAATAAATTTCAATCGTGGTTTTGGCGAGATTTGGCTCAGTCGAAAAAAAAAAGGTTGCCCACCACTGACCTAAGGCTATGATTGTGATTATGACGATACACTGTGGCCCTGATTAACCCTTTGCTTACTGGGCCCTTAAACCCCCTTCATGACCAGAGCGTTTTTTGCAATATATGCAGTGTCGGATTTGTTTTAAATGTTGCAATGGTTTTGCGGCTCCCAGTCTTTTTTTCCCTCTCGGAAATGGGTCCAAGTGGCTCTTTATGTCTTAAAGGTTGCAGACACCTGGTCTAGGGGTTCGGTAAGTGGAGATATACTTACTGGAAATTCATCAAAAGGAGCACTGCCAATGCTTGGTGGGGAATTACACAGGCAAAATTCAGTAGTCAGGGAATAAAATCTTATCAGTTTTTTGAATACATTTAAAAAAAAAAAAAAAAAAAAAAGGTGTAGAAAGCAACTTACATAAAATGTATGTAAGCTGCTTCCTACAACGCAATGTTTTTAATGTTTTCAATAAATTGTATTAAAAATTTTATTCCCTTACTACTGTGCTCTGACTGTGTAATACCTCACCCAGCACTGACAGCGCTCCTTTTGATGGCTTTGAGCTGGTTCTCATATAGTTCATATGAATTTTTGGAGCAGCCCATTACTGTGGTGTACTTTTATCAAGTACTCCTTTTGATACCTGCCAGAGCATCTGGCTTTTTGCTATTTTATGGAGGTATACTTACCTAATCCACCAATGTAAGCAGGCTGTTACCGGTCTATGAAATCATCTGATCAAACCGATCTTGTTTTCATCAGATGCTTTTAAGGGCAGAGGAGAGATCTGGGGTCTAATAGACCCCAGATGTCTCAGTAAAGAGTACCTATCACTGCCTATGCTATCACAAGGGATGTTATTCATCCCTTGCGATAGCCATTAAAGTAAACAAAAAATTTTAAGAGAGAAAAGGTGAACGCATACATAGGTCTCTCATGCATATGTAAGGTGAACATTATAGCAAAAAGCACCATGAACGTTATAGCAAAAGCAATAATTCTAGCACCAGAATTTCCGTGTAATTCTAAACTGGTAACTGGAAAGGGGTTTTAAAGCGTCACCTATGAAGATTTTCAAGTACCTTACTTTGTTGCCACTCCATAAGCGTGTGCAATTTGAAAGCAGTATCTATTTACACAGCGTAACATCATCTTTTATATTTCAACAATTAAGTATTATATGGTGTTTTTGTTCATTAACCAATTTAAGACCAGGCCTTTTCTGACAGTTTATGTTTACATGTAAAAAAAAAAACACACTTTTTTTGCTTGAAAATTACTTAGAATTTCCAAACAGTATATGTATTTTTAAGCAGAGGCCCTAGAGAATAAAATGGTGGGTTTTGAAATTTTTTTATGTCACACTGTATTTGTGCAGCAGTTTTTCAAACACAATTTAAAAAAAAAAAAATACACTTTAGTGAATTTTAATTAAAGTGTTACTAAACCCAGGACCCTGCATTTACTATATGTGGTCTCCCACAGTTCACAGAACATGGAAATGCAATTATTTTTAGTAAATCTAAACTAAATACCTTTTCTCATCGGCAGTTAGAGCAGTCTTGTGACTTCTATCAGTGTTCAGCACAGCACTGGTTAAATCTTGTAGGAGGAGTTTTCTCTAGGAGGATGCAGTACCTCAGACCTCTGTCTGGGCAGTGCTGATCACATGCACTATCCCAAGAAAAAAAAAAACCCTCTCTAGCAATATACACCAAAAAGAGCATATGCAGTATCTCCACATTATATGTCTTATCAAGAGATAAGAGGGAGACACTGGAAGAATGGGAGGATCAGAGGTCAGGATCAAACAGAGTTTTTACACAATGCAGAGGATTAACCCCTTAGGCTCCACAGTGAGTATAACAAGCATGCTTTACTGCATATACAGACTGATCTTACTGTTGTGGGTTTAGTAACACTAACACACAATAGAATACCCATGTTGTGGTAAAATATAAAAGATGGTGTTACGCAGAGTAAATAGATACCCAACATGTCACGCTTTAAAATTGCGCAGGTTACCAGTTTAGAGTTACACAGGAGGTCTGGTGATAGAAATATTGCTCTCACTCAGATGTTTGCAATACCTCACATGTTGTGCATTCACTGTTTACACAGGCTTTGCACACAAGCACAGGGACACAGGGGTGCTTTAAAAATTCTTTTTTAATTACATTTTTTTTTTTCACTCTTTACATTTTTTTTGGATCACATTTATCGCTGTCACAAGAAATATAAACATCCCTTGTGATAACAATATGCAGTGACAGGTACTCTTTATGCAGAGATGTTGGGTCTTTTAGACCCCAGATGCCTCCAATGCCCTGAAAGGAAAATCCACGTTTGGAAACATGTTACATATTCCACCTATTTTTAGGGTGGAACATGCAACATGTTCCCAAAGCTGCAGCCGCGCCTGCCGCTCCCCCTCCCTGACAAATAATACGGGGAGAAGTCTCCCCTTACTATCTGTCAGATTTTAAAACAGCAGCGTGGCCGTGCTGGGCTCCACCCACACGACCGAGTCATTTACGGACTTCCTTGAATGAATGAAACTGCCCACTGGCTGTGGGCTTGTAGTTTTCAATGAACTATCACGGTGCTAGAAGATATTCTGACAGGTCTGCAAGATACCTGCATGGCATCAGTGATCTACTGGTTGCTGGTGCAATGCTTTCCAGGCTCCTTTGGACAAAAATAATAAATGCACATTTTTTTACCTGCAAAAAAAATGTGCACTTATTACTTTTGTCCAAAGGAGCCTGGAAAGCATTGGTCAACTTATCCTTTAAAAGCATCTGATCACACCAAGATCGGAGTGATCAGATGCTTTCTCAATTTAAAAATGGTTTACATCTGGTGAAACAGTAAGTGGCAAAATACTCGTGATTGATGATCGGGGGCATTCCAGCCTCCTCTATGGTAAGCTGGTGCCGGGCTCCCCGGGAGACCCCCCCGCCTGTGAAAAAAAAAAAATCCAGCAGGGGAAAAAGAAAAAAAGAATTGCCCGAAGAAAAAAAAAAAACAAAACAATACCGGAGTGATGACTGTAGTTGCCGTCATCATCCCGGTATACCACTTGAAACTGCCAATGTTTCATTACCCCTGGTTCACATATATGCGGCCGTGCGAGTCGCGTTTTGCACAGGCACCAGAGCCCATTCATTTGAATGGACTCCTGTGACACGCAGAAAAGAAGTCACTGCACTTCTTCTGAAAACGCAGCCCGCACGGGAACTTCGGTTCCCAGTACGGTTGTGTTTTCCAGTGTGGGCGGCGTGCCATTAGAACTAACTCTTGGTACCCCTGCAGAGCCCCAACACTTGTTGATCCAGCCAGTGAAGTCCACCTAATGTAATTTCTTGTGGTGGTGTAACAAAGATGCTTCACTGCTCCTAAAGTTGCCACTCTCATGTAGGATGTGCCTGCTTATACCACAGTGGGATGGAAAAAATGTTGCAAGGATACTGTATACCATAGTAACTGGATTTGCTACATGTTTGGGCTGTCATTCAGGTGCCTTTATTCGTATCTTATGTAGTAGGATGGGGAGTTTGCAGGGATGAAGGTAGAAATAGCTATATTTTGCTAAGTTGTGGTGGTTTTTATCTTTGTCATCAACTGTATGTTTTTGTCACCTTGAAGTAGATATTCCATCATGTTGATGGTCCCGCCTGAAACAGGCATGGTGGTCACTGGAGGAGCCTCCATTAGTCAATCAAATTATTGCTGGAATGAAAACAGACAACAAAATAAAAACATGATTACATGTTTACACGTGTCAATCACAAGATGCATTAACTATGTGTGTCGTTTTTCAGCCTACCAATGCAGCAGGTTTGCAGTTCAGCTTAGGAAACCCTGGTATAGGTGTCCTTACAAACTGACTGAACAATTTCTTTTACATTTTCCAAAAATATATGTGATATAAGGACAAACTGAAAATATCCAATTAGAAAAGCCCATGCACTTTATAGTTGTTGGAAACCTTTTTAAGATTAGATTTTAACACTGTATATGGTGAGCATTAGATTTCACTGACAGGGTTGCAGTGCAGTAAAGGGATGCTAATGCAAGGGACACCTCATTTTCTCCTCCATCTTGTGGCCATAATACAGATTTTGTTTTTTAGATTAGATCAGAAAAATAACACATTAGGCCACTAGATGGAACAGGCAATCCTAAGAGGTAATCATATTACAAACAATATGGGATCATTTGTTGTGCCTGTGGGAATGCTTAACCTCTTCATGCCCAAGCTCAGATTAAACCTTAACACCCAAGCCCAATTTTGCAACTTTGACATGTGTTTGTAAAACTGTACTGCAATAGATCACATGGTACTCTAATTAATCACGCGATCTGCATTTGGGGTGTTGTTAGGAATATATTGACTTGCACAGCAGATTGCTCGCCCAGTGTTTCAAACATGGTGCAGGAAACAGACACAGACAGCGAAATTCCCATGCGTCGTTCCAGTGCGAACAAGCTCTAAAGCAGTGGTTCTCAACCTGTGGGTCGCGACCCCTTTGGGGGTCACCTAAGACCATCGGAAAACACATATTATACTGTGTAGAAAGCAGCTACTGTGTAGAAAGCAGCAGTATTGGAGGTAAAACGACACTTCATGAATTATAATTACTGGGTATATAATTATAGGGTTGGGGGTCACCAAAACATGAGGAACTGTATTAAAGGGTCACGGCATTAGGAAGGTTGAGAACCACTGCTCTAAAGGAAAATGTACACGCTCCAGTGTTTTTATATGTGAACTTTACTTTGATGGGTCCTGTTTTTATACAGCTGATGCTGCCAATTGACAGTGGTGGGGAACCTTTGCAGGAACTGTCAGGTGGGAGATCACTCCCCCAACTTTCATGGAACTCCTAGTAACCTCAACCGGAAGACAAGGTTGAATGAAGCGCAAAGCATCATGGGACTTGTAGTCTATCACATTTTCTCCTTACCCGCCAGTATTGCAGATATGAAGTCTGAGGAGACTGTGTACCCGAGAGAAGCTGGATTACATGGTCATGTGTGAATGGCCAACATAAACCCAACCCATTGACTCAGAGCACAAACACTGAAAGGGCCACTTAGAAGTCCATCGGTGAAAGCTGCCCACCATGATAGGTGGTCCTCATAGACCGGTAGATGGCCATCTGGTGGATGGAGGTCAGCCAACTTTCCCTCTGGTGTGAATGTCTTGTGTCCCTGTAGCTCAGTATGAAGGGGACTCCAGACAAACTCTTCCCATTAGAAGCAGAGAAGACAGACCGGAGTGGAGGAGGGAGCTGTGAGGATCCCGGAGGGGAGAAGTCCTGACACTGTCCCCGCACAGTCCATACATAGAACAGGACACACATCACCGACACACACACGTACATACATACTGGCACCATGCCAGTCTAAGGATTGCACCGTCTAGGTGAGGATGGCGGGAAGTGTCGGTAAAGTTCCCTCATGAGGTTCTCTCACCTGATTCTCAGTCCCAGTATGTCTCCCCTCCCTCTCTCTTCAGCTCCCACTTCGCCGCCGCCTCCTCCCTTTTCACCGATTTCTCTGTGTCCTCAGTCTCAGTCTCTCCCTCTGACAACACCGGAAGTCCTACCTGTCCGGAGGAGCCGAACGGAAGACAAGCTTGAATGGAGCGCAAAGCATCATGGGACTTGTAGTCTTTCACCTTTTCTCTTTACCCGCCAGTATTGCAGATAAGAAGTCTGAGGAGACTGTGTACCCGAACATTGGGCGGATTTGTTTATGTAAGGAGTCATGGAGGGAAGAGAGTATTTTATGCCTGCTTCTGTTAGGTGTCTGGCACTGGACTGCAAAGATTTGAATATGTTTGCATCAGAGGTCACTGAGGGTGAGATGACTGCGAGGCTTTTAGTGGTAAGGAGCCAGATTGGTAATATGTAATCGATATTATAGTAGCATCTCAAGCATAGCTACAGGGCTTGGACCAAAATATGGAAACACTGATTTGCAGGTGCAAAAATGAAAATTTTGCATTGAAAGTGGAACTGATGTAACATACTTTTACTTCCGCTGTCTGAGACACCTAGGTAAGAGATGGGGGCCTCACTGTTGTCATGCACTGCTAGTAATACGGAGTCATGTCAAAGCTTACTGAGCTTCAAAGATGTCTGTTGGTGTCTGCTTAGCTGGTGCCTCTGTGATTGAAGTTGCTAATTTGTGATGTCATGAGGTACAGTGTCAAAGGTTATGATGGTATATACAGTTTCCGGGAAACCATCGTATGTTAAACATAAGTGCGGACGACATGGTCAACTGACCAAAAGGACATTGCATAGGAATAAGAAAAACAACTGCTGCAAAAGTAGCTGCAGAGCTCAATCTCAGTCTTCCAAAGCCCGTTTCCACAAAAACTGTGCGCAGGGAACTCCATAAGCAAAACATTCAGGGGAGAACTGCAATTGCCAAACCACTAATGCTCAGAAGAGGAGAGAGTGGGGCAACACCTTAAAATTGTGGACTATCGATCAATGGAAGACTGTAATATGGTCCAGTGAATCCAGCTTCACACTGTTCCCAACCACCGGACGCATTTATGTGTGGCAAACAATGCTCCAAGCTTATGAGCAGGACTGTCTTGTGCCAAGCATGTGTAAAGCACGGTAGCGGTGCAATCATGGTTTGGGCAGCTCCATCTTGTTATTTTGCAGGCCCCATCATCACCTTGAAGAGTCACTGTCGGCAACTATGTACAAATTTTGGCTGACCATGTGAACCCCATGGTGCAGACATTGTTTCCTGAAGACAGAGCCATTTACCAAGGCGATAATGCTCTGATTTACACAGCTGGTGTCAAATCGTGGTTTGATGAGCATGAAAACGAAGACTTGCACCTTCCCTGGGCGCCGCAGTCGCTAGACCTCAATATCATAGAGTCACTATGGTCAATTTTGAAAAACGAGGTTCGGGCTGGTTTTCCGCCTCTGGCATCTCTGTGAGAACTGGAACAATTTTTCACTAATACTTTTATCATATTCCATTATCCACAATCCAAAACTTCTGTTTGTCAATTACCAGGAGAATTCAGGCTGTCTTGGTGAGCTGCTAGTAATACGGAGTCATGTCAAAGCTTACTGAGCTTCAAAGATGTCTGTTTAGCCAGTGCCTCTGTGACTGAAGTTGTCAATTTATTTGTGGTGTCATGAGGTAGTGTCAAAGGTTATGATGGTATATACCGTTTCCGGGAAACCATCGTCTGATAAACATAAGTGCGGTCGACATGGTCAACTGACCAAAATTACATTGCACACGATTGTGACCCAGAATAAGAAAACCCTCCTGACATCACTGGAAGTCCTACCTGTTCAGAGGAGCCCGACCGGAAGACAAGGTTGAATAGAGCGCAAGGCATCAAGGGACTTGTAGTCTTTCACCTTTTCTCTGTACCCACCAGTATTGCAGCTATAAAGTCTGAGGAGACTGTGTACCTGAACAACCCAATGCCTGACTTCTGTTAAGTGTCTGGAACAGGGGACATACTAAAAGGAATGACAATGGAATGTCCATAGAAATTTCACATTTCCCACAGGTGTTCCCCAAGTAGAGCAGCAGATTGTAAAATTTAAATAATTTGGGATTATAGCTGTTTTCTATGGAATGACAGATGAATGACACAAAGGAATGCCAATAGAGTATAATGAGAAGCAAGTGGAAGGATATCAAAACCATTACATATCACATAAATCCTTAGCAGACATACTCTGCAAATTCAGGAAGACAAGGTTTTAAAATTGAAATTAGCGCAGGATTATTATTGCTTTCTATCGAATGACTTGCCCATCGAATGTAATAGGAACCTTTTTTTTGTACCCTACCATGGTTTTGCAGCTATCCAAGTCACATCTTGCTTCCCATTATACTTTGGTCATTCCCTTCTGTCATCCACCCTTCTCATTCCATAGATAGCAATAAAGTTGCAGAAAACACGTCCCTTTTCCTGAGTCTTTTACAAGCGTCGCAGTTTTACCACAGCTTCTATCGCTTTCTCATCATCCTGTCTTCTCTATCCCCTCACAGGTAAATGTTTACATGCAATATCCATCTCTACCATCTCCATGCCATATATGACTGCTTTGCTATATGGTAAATGTCTGCGTGACATATCCCTTAAACTCATCTATATGCTTGTTCTTTTGAATCTTTCCTCTTTTTGCCTTGGTAATCAAAGAATCAATCACCTTTTATGACTGTGGCCTGTGTCTGTGGCTGGTATGTTCCCCCCCCCTCCCACTGAAGTGTCTGTAATCAGATCCTAATTTCATCAATTGCCAAATGTTTGCCAGCCCTATCTCCCTATAAATTTAGTTCAGCTTATCAAAAAGTTTCAGACAACATGGCACTTCTTTGAGTGTCTCTTTCACAAGCTGTGTCGCAGGTTTACTATTGCCTCTATCATTTCTCATCATCATGTCTTCTCTGCTCTTTCACAGGTAAATGTTTGCGGGCAACATCCATCTGTACCATCTCAATGCCATGTATGACTGCTAATTGACACTGCTTTGCTATATGGTAAATGTCTGTGTGCAATATCCCTTAACCACCGGGCACTTTTACCCCCCTTCCTGCCCAGGCCATTTTTCAGCTTTCAGCGCTGTCACACTTTGAATGACAATTGTGCGGTCATGCAAAACTACAAAAACAAAATTTGCTTAATTTTTCTTTTAGACAGCTTTCTT